AGGACCAAAAAAACTTATAGATGGAAAGCTTAAACAAAAAACACAAGCAAGAGTCTCACCAGTGTAATGGATCAAGCAGAAGAAATTATACCTCAGATTGAAGACAAAGTAGATTAATTATCCCATTCAGGAGAAAAAAATGAAAATGACATAAAATATCTACAGAACATCATTATAAGATATACCTTGTGAGTGATAAGATTAGACAAAGCAATAGATCTGAAGCATAAAGGCAGAGAAATCCTCCCAGGGAAGTCCTACTACAATTTTGTTCTTGTTTTCACTGGTTCTATCATATTATATCTTATTGGATTTTATTATGTGTGATAGTATAAACAAATTTTCTATGGAAAATGAGATAATATAGTAGCCACTGTTTGTTCTCTGTTATTTGGTTCTGAATGCCCTGTAATGCTTTCATTCTTTTGAATGATTTTATACTGTTTTATGTTTTATACGACCGTATATGAAGTTATAGCAGAATATTTCACAAATATGTGGAAAAAATTATATAGGCCCTTTGTCAGAGGTATTTAGAACTTAAGGACTAGAAAAAGACATCACATGAAATATTATGTTTAAGCTACCAAAAGTACAGTGTCAGTAAGGAACATTAATGACTTACTGAGAAAAGTGCTAGTCATTTGCAAAGGGAAATTTAACAGAATAATAGCAGACTTCCTCAAAGAAATTCAGTAGGTCAGAAAGGTGTGGAATGATGCATTTGTAAAACCTGAAAGAATATAACTGTCAACTTATAATACTGTATCTGGAAAATACATGCTTCAGAATTGAAGAAGTACTTTCCAATATAATATGAACTATAGGAAATCAAAGCCACTAAAGAGGTATTGTGCAAGGTACTGAAAGGAATCGTATACTGAGGAGTGGAACCTACATAAAAACAGGCTCGAGATTGTGGGAAAGAACAAATTGTCCCAAATGAGCAAGTAAGCAAATAAGAATTAGGAAAGACACAAACATGATTAACTCAGTAAATTATCATAACTACAGTGAAAATAAGTCAAATAAATGTGTTTGTTACTGAAGAAGTTGTTTCTGAAACAGAATCTCATATTTCATGTATTTAGAGAACTGCCTCCCCCATAAATGACAAAACCACAAGTAAGACTAAATCTATTAACAGCGCAATCCAAGAATCACATCCAGAAGCTAGGTCTAATGTTGAGTCATCATGCTGACATTGCATTCTCTAGAATTACACATAAGAATACAAACAGGATTAAGTTTAGGAAATTGCAGGGACTAACAAAGATTGTACCAGGAAATGAGAAGTAAACCACTCTCACATCTATGAAGTCAGAGGAGTCAGATATTAGACAGACCTGTCACTTACATGCAAGATCATGAGATAAATAAAACAAATTTCTACAATAACTATATACACATAACTTTGATAGCTTCCACAGAAATTCTAAGAAACACACTAGCAGATACTCTAACACTTCAATATCAGAGGACAAAAATAAGACAAGATTGAACCTCAAAAAGGAATAAAGCAAAATTGTAAGAATTTAGATGCAGAGGACAATAGAAAAATAGATGAAGGGAAAACGATGAGTTCCCACTTGAAATTGAAAGGATTTTGCCCTAGATATGATATTATGGCTGTGCGAGGCAGGACCAAGGAATTTTTACCTTGAGGTCACTTTTCCCTCCCCTGTGACAACTTACCTGTGGCATGAAATGAGTCTCAATCAGTTGTCTGCGCATCAGCAATGCCACCTTAAGCACCACTCCAGATGGAAACTATATATATGCCCCCTACACCACATTTCCAGCAGAGAAAGCCAGGCCTTGGTAGTCATGGAGTTCTCTCCACATGCTTATAATAAAGGCTATTTTTATTTTATATCCTCTCTTTACCACGCTGAAAATCCTATCATTTGGTTCCCTAACCAGGAAGGGAAGAGTGAGTGGCTCCTCGAAATCCCTCCCAGTTTGAGTCCCCCTGCCTAAGAACCATGTTTTTCTTCCTCCAGGACTGTTTTCTTGCCACCACTAATCCACATACCACAGTACCTTCCTCACTGAACATGGGTGAACTGCTGTCCGGGGTTGTTTGTTTTCATTCCTTAGCAAGCTTGCGACAGAAAACCCATCCTGCTTCCCTGAACAGGGATACCAGTTTTCATGCTTCTTAAGTTGCATAGCTTGAGGCAAGACTGGCATTTTTGTTTGCCGGGACCCTGCTCTGCACTCTTGGTGACCAGGCTGAGGAGAATGCATGTTGGGCCTTTCCATGTCACATTTTCAAAATAGGTGATTATCTCTTTTGTTAAGTGTGACCCAGCACAGCTTCCATGTTCCTTGGGGGGGGGGGGTACAGCTCTTACTTCCCAAGGCGAAGTTGTTTTAATTATAATTAGTCATGGGGACCACTTCCTGTCCCCCAAAAAAACACACCTCTGGGGTGCCTGGTTTACAAACCTTGGTGCTCTTGGCCTCTAACAGGCTACAAAAACCAAAAAGCTGATCTTTTACTTATGCTTTTGTCACAATGGTGACAAGTTGGCAGAAATCCTTCATCTTTAGGCCTTTTTCACTTAAAGGATGTGTCTTCCTCTCACTCTGTCTTCTGTGATGACCCGAACACTTCTGGCTCACTCTTCTCCACCAGCATCTCTTCCCCTCCCAACACTTATGATGCGGCTCCTGTCTTTACAGCTTCTCCCTCGTATCTCTCATACCAAATCCTATAGCTTTCTCAGCCAAAGGTTTCTATACCCTCTGCACTGTCCTCTCCTCCTCCTTCACCCACAAGGGTCTCTAGTCCTTCCCCTAGAGTCTCTAATCCTTCCCCTAGATTCTCTAATCCTTTCCCTAGCATTTCTCGCCAAATTCCAACTTCTAACTGTCCCCCACCCAAGCTATCTGTCCTGTCTGAGGGTTCTTTGTCTTCTTCTCCTGCATCACCATTTTGTCTGCCAGCTCACCATACTCAGTCTCAGGCATTCTAGCCTTCAGGCAGGCCACATGGTTGCTGCAGCTTGCATAGAGGACAGCTGCCATCTTGTGGTCCTCCGCCACTTGACAGGGCACTGTCATCTTGGAATGGGTCTCATGGTCAATGGCCACCACCTTGTGGCTCCTCATGTGATCAGCAATGAGCACCCTGCATCAAGTCACATGATGAGTCACCATGCTGCCAGCAGCAACTAGGCCACTGCAAGCCACATGGTGACCCAGCAGAAGCCTGTGTTACCTTGTCTCATGGTGATAAGTGGCTGCTTTATAGCCAATCACCAGGTAATTGCCACACATGCCTGCTGGACAGTTGGCTGCTCAGTGGCCATCTACTCCACAGTCTTCTCTGTCTCAATCTCTGCTCCCACTTTGGGAAGAGGCTGGCCCGGAGGGATTTGTTAATACACATGTACTTTTCTCCTTGCTGACTTACCTCACATTAGCCATAAATTAGTTTCCTTTTCTGGTATTCTTATTTCAAGAGATCTCTATTAATTGATCTACAAAAAGGTTCATACTATTCTACTTATTATAGTTCAAATTGCCCAAATATATTTGAGTACACTAATTTTATAGGATGATTATCAGTTTATATATCTGTTGTCTATCTATTGCCTGCTCTGTAAACAGCTGTTTCTTTTTATTTGAGCTCAACAGTTTTTCCTCCCCTTTTACAATTCATTGTTGCCAATCTGGTGGTATGTTCATGCATTCAAATACAAAATTGGGATTGTTTATTATGAAAAGTGTTTTCCTTCAGATCCAGATGTCTGCTACTTTTTTCTTGTGTTCCAGACAGGAGATTTAGATCAGACCAAAATGAGGTCATCAGTTCCATAATGACTTTTTTAAAAATTCATGTAATGTGTATGTTATGCTTAGAGATGCTTAAATAATGGGCAGTCCAAACAATCTCACAATTTCTTCAGTGTTCAAATGTTAAAACACCCACGGTTAATAGAAAATAATAGTTCCATTTAATGTTCTATGTTAAGCTTACTGTCTGTACTGCACTGTACTGATACGAATCTTCTGGATGTTCAAAAACTAAAATTAAGTTGATATAAATCATAAATTCCTTTTGGATTCCTTTTGCTGGGATCCACCAGAAAGAAGGTTATATGACGCAGGGGTGACAGAGCAACAATACTGGTACTGGGGCTGAGGCTGGGGAGGGTCCAGGTCTGAGCCTTTCCCAGCCCAGCCACTAGCCCTGGATCAGCCCTCTGCCAACCAGTGTGTGCCAGGCATATTGGGGCCATAATTAACTATTCAACTGGCATTAAATGACACTAGCTAATCTCTCTCTTAAATAAAAAGAAAAAATTAATAAAACAGGCCATCCTTAAAAAAATCAGATGGCATTAGACATTCTAACAGCATAACAGCTACTTATACAATTGTAAAATCTAAATGTGTATACGACAAATGAATGACGTATCAGTTTCCAAAATTCCCTGGAACTTGTCCTCCTATGGAAAGTCATTGCTAAAGTTTTAATCATAAATACCATGTAAATTGTATTATTTGACTCCTGCATACATAATTGATTCTTTGCCTTTGTCTCCTTTAGACTTAAATCTGTACACATATCCAATATAAAAACCAGATATCTTGTGACTATGGAGGAGACAAATATCTTCCTTTGTCAGCCAGATACCAAAGCAAAAGGCTAAGCTTGGCCCTCAAACCCCACAGGGAGACCCTTTAATATGGCTTTTCATGTTTTCAACAACAGAGGTAAAAATCAAAAGAAAAAAATAACAATCTGATCTTTTAGCAGTGACACTTGGAGCTCTGAGACAGGTAAACCAACACAAGTTGGAGCTGTGTGAGTCCCTTGTGGACCATGCTTCAAGTGCAGCAAAAATGGACATTGGGCAAGGGAGTACCCCAATCCTAGTGTTTCTTTGAGGACTTGCCCCTATTGCAATCTCAAGGGCCACTAGAAGAGCAACTGTCCTAGCCACCAGAGAGTGGGTAAGTCATCCTCTAACTCCTTGCCCTCACAGGAGACTCCATCAACACCATATTCATCACTGACTGATCTACTCGGACTTGGTCCTGGAGATTGATGTGGCTTGAGGCACACAGCCCCCTTTAAGGTGTCTTCTCAGAGCCCCAAGTCCCACTAGAGGTCTCAGGTAAGACATTCTCTGTACTTGTGGACATAAAGGCCATGTATATTATTCTTCCTGAGTTTTGAGGCCACTATATTAAGTCCTCAGTCTCTATAGTGGGTGTTGATGGTCAACCTACTCAGCCTTCGCAAACAGGGCCTATTCCATGCAGGTTCCAGACTTCCTTCCTCTCTGGTTGATCCCAAAGTTTGAGATACCTCCAATCCCACTTTCACTACCCATGGCATGCCTATTTTAATTCATCTCAGGAATCCTTCAGTTTTTCCTTGTGTTACCCAATATCCCATATCTCCTAAATATTTATGGAACTTAAACCTATAATTAAGTGCCTTTTAGACAATGGTTTTCTTAAACCTACACATTCACCCTATAATATTCCTATTCTCCCGGTACTAAAAGGTGATGGATTTTACCATCTAGTACAGGACTTTAGGGTAATCAATAGTGCTGTTACCCCAATCCACTTAGTGGTACAAAAACTCTTATACCTTGCTCTCTCATATCTCTCCCTCACCACTCACTTCATAGTCATAGATCTTAAAAATGTCTTTTTGTTTATGCCTTTGTGTTTATGCAGACTGACATAGACACTCTGAGGTCTCAACAACTTACACCTGTTACCTCTATAGTAAAACCTCTTCTCAGGGAACCATAGCATCCTCCTCTTTTCCTATTCATCAATTTCTTGGACACAAGCCTGATCAGGACTGGCAGGCAGATTTTACACACATGCCCTGCCACAAAACTCTCAAATATCTTCTAACCTTTGTTTGTACTTTTTCAGTATATATAAAATCCTTTCCCACACCCAGGGAGACTGCTGACATACTTATTAATGTCCTGTTATTGGAAGTCATCCCAAGGACTACAATCAAGATGAAGCAGCCCCTGCCTGATCTTCTTGGTAATCTCAACAGTGGTTAAAGTTGCTGGATTGCCATCCTGATTCCACATTACTCAAGTGGTGCCCTCCCAACCCTAAATCTAACCATCATATTGCCCACTCGTCTCCATCTCACCAAGGCCTCACAGCCACAACTCTCAGGCTAAGCCATGTTTTGTTATCCAATTTGGTTCCTAATTCCTTATATTCTATTAATTAATTATCTTTTTTACAGAGGGACTCATAACAGTCTTTCCTAAAGACTCCAAAATCACACAAAAGGTCATCTTCATATTGTTCTATGTGACAACTGACAACAGTCTTAGTTCTCTCTACCCTCAGCTCTATGGTCAAATGTGAGATCTCTGTGGGCCTAGGCTCTTGTCTTTCCTATAGTGACACAGGCATGGCCCTCCCCACACTTCTTATACTTTCCAGGTCAACTCCTGGACCAAAGACAAGTCCTGCATACCTATACATTTAACTTTTACCCTTTAGGATAAAGTAATCACCTCTCATAACTTCACTCCTCCTAACCCCACACATATTCTTCAGAATTCTGCCTCAATGTGGTCCTGATGAAATGGCATATTAAATCAAAGACACCTTTCCTTCTACCTCCCTTGAGTCCTTAAATATGATAGTGGCCTGCCTCCTCATAGCACCTTGCCTCTTTGTTTTTTCCAGTCTAACATGTGGGCATTCACCAATGATGAAGTTGTCCTGGCTGAAACACTTGACACCAGTTTCTACATTGGTATCAACCATCATCTTGTCAACCATCCTAAACTCCAATACAATGTCCCCTTTCAGTAGGAAAAAGTAAGAGAGAGACTTTGCCCTTTCCTAACAATAAAAAGACTAGAATGAAAGGATTTTGCCCTAGATATGATATTCACAGCAGTGGGAGGTGGGACCAAGGGATGTTTACCTTGAGGTCACTTTCCCCTCCCCTATGACAACTTACCTGTGACACAAAAAGAGTCCCAATTATCTGGCTGCACTTCAGCAATGCCATCTTAAGCACCATCCCAGTCAAAAATTCTATGTATGCCCCCCACACCACATTTCCAGCAGAGAAATCCAGGCCCTGGTCATGGAGTTCTCTGTGCAACCTTAGAATAAGACTATTTTTATTTTATATTCTCCCTTTTACTGCAACAAAAATTCTGTCAGAAATGTCTTTCTAATCTCCAAGTTACTCTCATTTAGTACTTAATTTCTCAAAATTACTCAAACTCCATCCAAATACATAAGCTGCATCAGAGCCCCCAAGTTGAATTGTAAGGATGTAAAGAAACCATCAAGTCAAACATTTTCAGTTGTGGATCTGAACACATGGAATCAAGAGAGAAAAGCACCATAAAACACGTGAAATAACAAAGTTCAGTGATCCCATTGGAGGTGATGATGCAGAGTCCTAAGGGAAATTTGTCAGGGAGGCAACAAAAGTGAAAGGAGTGTAGGTCTTGTATGAGACTACACAAATCTAAGCTCAAGTGTCTCAGGATACAGTGATTCTTTTCTCCTAGTTCTCAGCAGTGGTGAAAAAACTAGCAAACTGAAAGCAGGGAAAATGAAGAGAAGACTGTGTTTTGCTAATAGCAGGGTTCAAAAAGAATCATTAAGTGAAGCTGTGGAAAACAGGAATATATTCCCTTAAGTATTTCCTTAGATGAGTAATCAGTATGAACTCAATAATGCTTCTCTTCTTTAGACAATCTGTTGAACAATGGAAGAAATTATTCAATTGATAAAATTTATAAAATACCAGTACTGCCCATTCTCTGAATTTTTTGTATTATGGAGTTTCCAAAGTTATTTTCATTTTAGTTATCTTCTGCATCTAATTCACTGGAGAAGGATTACCACATTATTTCCATAATTTAACAGAAACACACCTGGAACATTTTATATGTGTTGGACTGTAATCCACATACTTTAGGTATGTCTTGTGTAATATTCCAACAATTCTTTTATACTATCCTGTTATATTTATGAATGAGACAATGATATCAGAACAATAAGAAATTTAAAACATCACCAAAGATATAAGCAAAACACACTGTCATTCTACAGGCCATGCTAATCACATCAAAGGGACTTTAAACTTATCTATATTTGAAGATGATAGGTACAAATGCCTAATCTTTCTTTGTTTTTGATACCAGATCTAAAAGTATGTTTTACTAAGTTCCAATCTAATAATATATTATTTTCTCCTCTTATAAATATTTATTTTACAGCATGCACACATTATATAAAATATTTTTGAAGTGGTAAACATATCTTCTCTCTTCACCCTGCCATCTGCAGTCTTGCTCTGAATGGCTAGTGATACATCCTTGTCTATTTGGTAAGCATAAGTGGTATCAATATAATGGGACCCAACATACCAATTTGGTGGCCTCTATTATTTTAATCTTAGGATTCTAGAGAAGCAGACAATTGTAATATTTGAAGATACATATATGAGTAGTAGCTCATAGCAAGCAAACAGTCCTTTAGACTAGAAGTGAATATTGCACTCATTATATGATTTAATTGTAGCAAGGCATTGGCTCTCTCTCTGGACTTTGAATTGCCATATTTCTCTTTTCTGTGGCACAAGGAAATATACTGAGAATTATTAGGGTCACAAATAGAAGCAACGAGTGTCCAAAGAACCATCTTTTATCCATGTCTTGGGTTAATTCTGAATTTTGAGTAATAAGCCCATACATTTTGGCTGATACTTTCCCCAAACTGGACATTCTTCTCAGACTCCAGCAATTCCAGTTAATCAGTGACATCAGAGGATCCCAGGAATATTTCATATTTGGTAAGTTGCTGAGCATAGGGTTTAGCATATAGGTACAATCTTGCACAATTTATGTAGTGATATCATAAACTCAAACACACAAAAGGGTTTTCTTAGTTAATTTTATCTCCTTGCTGAGACAAAATTTCCAACACCAAAAGTTAATGGGAGAAAGGTTTATTTAATTGAGTTTGTAGGAGTTTCAGTACTTAATTGGTTGTCTCCAAGGTGCTGTGGCACTTGCCAGAGGGTCAACAGCTCACGGTTTGGGAAAACAGCAAAACCAAGTGAGAGACAAGAGTCTTTCCATCCTATGTTGTATGCAGGCTTATCCTAGAGTACATGTAGCATTCACATGCATCATCCCAGCTTTGGACATGAACAAATTACAAAGCCTAGATTCAGCTATCTTCAAAAAACACAACTTCAGTGACTGCATGAAGCTTTTAGGGGGTGGAAAGGCAGCACAAACCAAAATAAGGATGCATGTTATGAAGTATAGAAGAAATAGTGTGTATTTGTGGGCATCTTTTCATTGAAGATACACATAGCACATTACAGCTATCCTCACACTGAAATTTCTCAATAGATAGAAAATGTTTACAAGGAAGACTTGGAAATCATTTTGTAAGATTTTCACAGAGGCTGCTTAAAGTGTACCCTTGTCCTACTAGGACAAATCTGAATCCACTATCCTAAAGAGAATATAGAGGCATAAATATCAATCCTTGTATAAGCACTTCATGGAGCACTAACTACTTCATAGACTTTGAATGCTGTGAAAGTTTCCAGATGTCAAATACTACTTAAACCATTAACTGGGACTTCAGCCAATTGTGTTTACTTGTGTTTATTCTATTAATCCTCCCATGCAATGAGACCAACTTTTTTATTAGAAAGCTAATCTCACTGTATGTAATAACTAAATTAGGTTTTAAAAATAGGTGTACTCAAAGATATACAGTTATGAATAAGAAATTACCATTGTCATGTAAGAAATTATTAAAATATACCTTAAAACTTACTCTCCTTTTCCCAAGAAAGGCAAGGCTAGAGTGAAATTTAAAATTTTTGCCTCATCTACCAATTTTAAATAATGATTTGAAAGTGTACTTACTATAAGATGATAAGGTAACTTGAACCCAGTCAAATTTTCCACCTATTTTAAGAATTTCATAGTTGTTCCCTTAATATGACAGTGAAGGAGAGGTTAGGTTCCACCACTCTGTCCTGAGACTAGCACTAAAGTTTTTAAGTTTGATGTCTGCTGTAGTCAGGGGTTGAGAGGAGAACAATTAGAAGCAGGACACAGAATTTATATTATTATTTAATGATAGTCACCCAGCGTTTAACCCAAGAAAGTACAGGAAATCTATCCACAACCCTAAAGACATGGAGTATTCAGCCAAGGGCCTGGATCCTACAGCAATGACCTGCATAAATCCAGATGAAAACCTACAGCCCATGACAATGCCTCCTATGAGTCCAGCTGGAGGTCTAAAGCCCAGAAGAAGGATTCACATCAGTTGGCTTTATGGATCTGTCCTGGGAAAGCCCAAAGGCCAGCAATGGAAGCTAGAAAGTCTATGCCAGCATGGTGAAGGAGCTGTGCTGGTAGGTCGAGGTTTCTACACTGGAGCCAAGAAGTCATGCTCATAATAAAGATGAGAGCTGTCCTAAAAAGCAGCACAGTTATCCTTAGTGATGTGGAGGCCCCAAGCTTCTCCAAAGATAAGAACATTTGAGTACATGTCAGAAAGCCAGGATGATGAATTTGTCCTGAAGATTAAACAGCACACATCTTCCCCTCCAGAACCAGGAAGTGATATTGGTGTAAGGATCAGAGCTCCCCCAAAGTGAAACACAGCCACTCTCACCAACATGGTCTTCAGCCCCTCTGATGACAATGGTTGAACTCACACTGGGGAAGCTAGTCATGATCAGCTCCTCCAGGAGAACTAACAGCTCAAACAGCAACACTAAGAGAAATCCACAGTGCCTCTCTCTTCTTCTCCAAGTCTCCCTTTATGCTGGCAACATTCCTCAGGTGGAACATCTACACTTAACACAATGCTGACTTAATTCAGCTGGTGTTAAGCAGACCATCGGTTTTGAATCAATAACAATGCTACTCAGATAAATACAAGACAAAATATAGGTGTGGTCTTTAATACTCTTACTTTGCACCACTTTGGCTTACAAATGTATAAGATCTGTCAATTTTGTTTGGAATTTAGATATTCTCTTATATCTTATAAAAAGGAAAAGTATGGATTCAAATTTCAAGGAGCAAGCTAATTAGGTGCTCTAAAGATGATATTATAATACAAATTTCCTTTCATTCTTGTGAACTCTCTTCTTTACTCAATGCACCTCAGGCCGATCTGTGTATCATTGCATTTTTAATTCAACATACATTATCTGGGACTTATATTTCACCCACAGCCTTATTATATCTCAATTTATATCATAGAATATTGCATTTTCAAGTTAATCTTGCATACTCAAGAATAGTACTTGAGAGATTCTACTTTGTCCACATCCAGTATTTAGATGCTGAGTCTACATAACAGTAATACATCTGTACCCAAAATTTCTTTATTTTATGCTTCTTGTATCAACTTTTGATACCCTAATTTCTTCTCTTTTTAGGAAGAAAATATTTCCTGAGGCATACAAATAAACAGGGAAACTATCCTAATTGCAATCAAAAATTGAATAAAGAAGCATTGTTCTTAGCCGAATATGTTTATCTTTCTTATTGGTCTGGGCAATAGACTGAGATAAGGGGGAAAATAGTACCTAAATCAATAGGTGATACCATAATTGATAAAGGGCATTGTCTAACAATCTTCTATATAGTAGATGGAATACCTCTCCTCCAAGAATCAGAGAGCCTGGTAAATCTCCCAGAAACACACTGACACAGAGTAACTTGACAACTGGTCAATTTTCTCCTCCTAGCTCCCTTTTTTTCTTTTTGGAACTCTTTACTCCAACATTACTACCATTATTTCTTGAGGCATATAGTGTCATATCCCAGTCCAGAAATACAGTACCCATCACTAAATTTCACACACAAATATTTGAAATTCACAGCTTATCAAACCTCTGGTTAAGAAGAATCTGTTTATTATTTTCTGTTCTGTGGCCATTTATTACTGAGAATCCATATCTCTAATTGCTTATCTAGTGGTTAGTCAACACACTACTTGTTTTATGATTAAACAGTGGCATTTCTTCTTCTATGAATAACTAATGACACTCCATATAAAATGGTCACACAATGATTCTACATATTTAGTGTTCACCCAGTCATGTGAGAGTGTTACAGAAAGCTGAGTTTATTAGAAATACTATATGCAGTGAGACTGAGCTAGGTCCTCAAAAGAGCCAGTGCAGAAGCCCAGACACCTTACAACTGTTGGGGAGAAAGACAGCTCCTGCTGTGGGCCAGGCATCAAGACAAAAGATCAAGCAAATATATCCATATCCTAAGGTCTGATATTCTAAATAGTTTCATATCACACTGAGAAAGTCAGGAGTCACCATCCCAACCCTCTACAGAAGAGTCACTGCTCTCTAAGAATGCCTACTGTACATAACTCATTTCCTCATTTGTCCCCAATTGAATCAATTTTACCTGAACTATTAATTTTTTTGGTTAACAAACCATAGTTCTGTCCCACCTTATGTGCATTTGCCTTGTAAGTTACCAGTTTCCCCCACCTTGAACCACTCTTTTTTTTTTTTTTACTTTTTGACCCTTTGACTATGGTTCAACCTTGAAGCCCTCTTGCTCCATGATTTTACTTTATAAAAGTCCCTGGAAAAGACAGAGTCTCTGGCAACCTTCTCAGGACCCCTTCTGTTTCTCTCAGAGGAAAGCTTTCTTTCTCTCAATATATTCTACTCTTAATCTCTGTTGTTCCTAAAATTCATTCTTCAATTTTAGAGAACACAAACTCATACCTCAAAGGATTTTGTCCTGAATGGGAAGCTGCAGTGGTGGGAGGTTGGGAGGCAGAACAAAGGGGCTCTGTCTTGAGGTCACCTTTCCCAGCCCCAGGCAATTTACCTGTGGCACGAAATGAATTCGAATGGACTACTTGTGCATCAGTAATGCCCCTTAGGCACCACCCCAATCCTAAGCTATATGTATGACCCCACACCATGTGTTGCGTAAAGAGAAAGACCGACCCCGGAAGTCATGGAGTCTCTCTCCACATTCTTAAAATAAAGGCCACTTTTATTTCATATTTCTTATCTTTTTAGCCACACTGAAAATTCTATCAGATGGTTCCTTGACCAGGAATCAGCAGACAAGTGACTCCTGGGACCCTCCCAGTCTGAGTCCCCTGCCAGTTCATGGACTGGACAGGATGAATTCAATTCTCAACACGGAGGAGTTGCTGAACTTGTTGCTGCTGGTTTGCAAACAACACCGGTCTAATTCATTTACCACAGGTGAGCTGATCTTGTTGGAAGATTACTCTGCAGTGGGGCCAAGCCCCATGCCAGATTTTCTTTCTGTTCCCCAGACTTGGGTAATGTTCTCATGTTGCTTGGGCAGCCCCGAGGCAGAGCTGTTACTAATCCATGGAAAATCCACTCTTGCCTTTTTTGATGACAACCAAAAACACAAATTTTGGAACTGATTGTCATCGGTCTAAGAGGTCAGGTAATGGCCTGACCTGGCTTGGATTATGATCCATTGGCTCAGTTGACTGTGATTGATCTTGGGGACCACTTCCTTCTGTCCCTTAAAAAACATACCTATGGGGTGCCTCGTTCAAAAGGCTATCTGAAACCAAAAAGCTGATCTTTTATTTATAGCTTATCACACTGACAACAAGTTTGCAAAAACTCTTTAGGCCTTTGTTTTAAGAATGTGTCCCTCTCTTCCTCTGCTCCTCCAGGATCCCTCCCCTTCCCCACACTTAGGAGATGGCTTCTTTCTTTACAGCTGTTCCCCTATATTTCACACACCAAACCCTGCAGCTTTCTCAACACCCTGCTTTCCTCTCCACTTCACCCATTTCTCAATCCCTCCCCATCCTGCACGCCAGCCTGCCTTTCCCATGCCAGGGTGGAGGAGGTGTGTGCAGACAGTGTTGGTGGAGGTGCATGCCAACAGCATTGGGCTGCACACTGGCAGCACAGGCAGCACAGGCCACCCAGGCTGGGCATGTGCAGTGTTCACTGACAGGGCTACGAGGGCTGCTCTGGGCTCTCACACTGTGCCCCAGCTCTATGCCCCCACTGCACACTTCACTCCCCATGTGCTCCACCCCCTGCATACTCCACATACCTTTGGGGCAGTCCCAGCCCCAGACCCCACCCCTGAGGGAAAGTGCAGCTTGGCTCTGAAGCATTGGTTCAGAGGAGGAGACAACGGGATGTGGCAGGAGAAAAGGGCCAATTCTTATTTTAAGAGATCTTTAAATCTACAGAAGGGTTCATACCTGCCTTATTTAATATGGTTCAAATTGGCCAAATATATTTGAGTGCACTCTGATTTTATAAGATATATCTGTTGTTTGTTCAGTCCATTTACACTGTACAGATATTTGTCCATGTTTGTCTATTTGCCTGCTCTGTGAACAGCTGTTCTTGTTGGTTTGAGCTCAACATTTTTTTCCTTTTTCACATTTTCAAACCATTTAATCAATTTTTATTTTGGTTATAAATTTTTAAATAATGCTTCCACCTAGTTTGCCAGCTGGTCAAAATAGTGCTAAAACTGGCTAAATAAAATCTTTTGGGGTGAGGAGACATTGGACAAGACTTCAACTGATAAATGAGGAAAGTGGCCACCTGATAATTTTACCAGCCTTAATTATCAATTGAGGCCTCCAATAAT